CGCATCCTCAGCCTGGAATTTAACCAGAGAATCAAGTGCTTGGAGATTCAAGATTGCATTCAAGGCTGTTTGTGTGTGCTTTTTAGCGCTCCAGTTGTCAGGATCGGGGCCGATCGCTGTGTGGTATTCATTTTAGCCAGCAGTATCTTCTTGTTGACCCCTTTTCCCTATTGGACCACCACAAAGGGGCAACAATTTAAAAATTTTTTTATACATGGAATGTCCGTTTCGGAAATCCGTTAGTTTTTCAAACTTAAATTAAGTTCGAAGATGAGGAATATCGGTTTCCTCTATGAATACTCAAAATTAAGCTGAAAACAAATTTTATAATGTCATAGGAGCGGACAATTCGATTTGAACCAAACTTTGCACAACCTCTATTATCTTTACCTAGTTCCTGTCCGAAAATGGAACCCATTGGTCCACGTCTTGTACCCACTCCCACAAAGTGTAAAATTTTTGAAAAAATGTCTGATTTGATGCATATTGTGCACCTTGTAATGAATCTGAAATGTGAACATCGATATTGTAAATCTTATATGAAACGAACAGAGTATCCAAAATTTTGTTAATTAAAATTATCAAAACATTTATTCGCATTGTTTATTTTGTCAGTATACAAGTACTTAATTTTTGTTATTTTTTCGTACGTTTGTCTGATAGCAGCGTTTCCAGACAGGCACTTTTTTTGGAACATTCACATGACATACATATATTTATTAAAATAACAAAATACCTACAAGAATTTAGCACCATTCAAATAGATAAGACTTAATTGCAGTGAATTTGGAATTTGTCGGGCGTTCTTTGTTTAAAATTATTTTTGATATAAATCATACGAGAATTTATTCATTCAATTTTTCGGATTTCAACCTTTGTTTGTTTGTACATGTTTCATATACATATATTTATTTTTGCTTTCTATTAAAACTGATAACTGTTCAGACAAAGTTCGATGTTATTCATTTATTTTTTTTATGTTCAAAGGTCCATTTTGAAGTCATACTCATCATCATCGCAATGATAGCATGTTGAAAATGTATGTATGTCGCTAATAAAATATATCAATAAGTAAAATCTCGAATGACTTTAATAGAAATATAAAACAAATATAATAAATATAGAATAGCAGGAAGACATTTTGCATTTTATTCAATTTCAATTAAAGAGTATTATATGACTATGAACCGCACAAACAAATATTTCTTTTTCAAATTTATAAAGAAAAAAGAAAAAAAAATGTATCTATAAAACTCTGGTGTGTACGCATTCTGGAATGTATTTATAAAAAGTATCAGGTGTCCTGTTAAACTTACCTAGGGTTTGGTGTTAATCACCGCCATCAATCTATTAAACCTCAAAAAAAATGTAATAGAATTGTTGCTCTGTTTCAAAACCTGAAAGATTTTAAAAGTATTCGATTTTTGTCTTTTTTATATTAATGTACTATTTAAAATTTACAACGCTACCGTGTAACTTATGAAATATTTCTAAAATATGAGGCATTTCTAACACATAGCCTATAATTTTTTTCAAAACAAAACATAATTTTTTAGTTTTCATATAAACATATTGGAATACGGTATTTTTCCATCCTTCGTCATAGTACATATTTGTCATACAGATTCCTAAACACTATATGACGTTTGTCCATGTTTCCATTTAATTGATCTAAAAATAAGTTTTTTTTTTGAAAATATTCATCTACGCAATATGAATAGCTTGCCAAATTTGTGCGCACATACATATATACACAAGGGGTATTTATAAGTACTTGAAGATGGAGGGTGTGGAATCTATATATTGGCAAAAACTATAATTGATAAATTAACTTTTGAGATTCTTCAAACGATACCATCTAATTTTTGATATTTTACAAGATTTAGCCGCATTATTCAACGGAGGAGACTTAAAATTGGCATTACGGTTTCTTACTATGTCGCGTTCATATACAAGCATACATATACATATTTTAAGTATTTCAATTTCAATGCAATTTATTTCAACATATCTAGACATAAATCCATGATCGTTGTCCCTAGGTGAATTTGCCAACCGAAGTAGGTATAAGTGGGCAATGTACACCGACATAATCTCCTTATAACATGTCCCCAATAATTTTAGGCATTATGAAGACCCATGGTTCAATCTGCCTGCTGGGAAACTTTGAGGAAGCAAATCGTTATTCATTGAATAACTCCCAATTCCCTGCATTTTTATATGTGTTACACATATAAGTGGCAATGGCTCAATTATAGGAAAGTTGTGGAGGCGATAGAAATATAAATTTTATAGATTTTCATTCATGTTTTTCAAATTTTATTTTGAGGATTCAAAAATATTTCATTTTCAAAATAAATATAATTTATTTGTTTGTTTACATTTTTCTGTCAAATAACGTTGACACTAGTATAACTTACAAAAACAAATTTCTATGTGGTTGTTGTATCGTTTGTTGTACAACAACACTTGCTGTTACCTTCTATTGTTATACCATGATGAAGACCCTAACCGTAATGGTTGGTAATATGGCATTTCGGGCTCTTGGAGTAAAATATTCTACGAAGCATCAAATGATGTTATTTTTTTGCTACTATAGAGGTTCCTACCTTCTCTGCATTCATGGCGATGTAAACCGTATTGTTTTCGCAACTCAAACCAAATACCCTATTTTTGTGAATATAAGGCGACTATGTTGCCTAGGTCATGTTGTGAGAATGGATGAGGATGCTCCAGCACAAGCCTACTGAAATATTTTTATGCTACGTCAAAAATGTGCCTCATCGAAGTATTGGTTTTCTTTAGTCAAAATACGTTTCAGACTATTTTGAGTTGATTTACAAATGTCCGTCCGTTTGGCTGGCTGGTGTGTACGATAACTCTAGAAGGAAGTAACCGATTTCAAACATAGATCAAAAGATGAAGTATATCGTCCAATCCTTCTGGTATCTCCCCTACAAAATGTTCCAAAGGACTATCCGATTTAAACTAAAACTGCACAATATTTTTACCAAGCCTGTAAATTGTTGGATGGTGGGACTTATTGCGCATTCTAGTTCTAGTACCTCCCCCACAAAGGGTCAAAATTTTAAATTTTTATAAATCCAATATTAAGCGAATGCAAAGTCCGATTTGATCCAAACTTTGCAAATCGTAATACTTTTACAAAACCCCTAGATAATGTCAGAAGATGGGACCCTTCAATCCACTCATTCTGTTACCACCATTCTGGACAAACGCGTAAAACTAAGCGACTATATATCACCAATCCTGAGATATAGATGTCGATATCACTAGTAGAGACGACTGAAACCGTAGCAACCTTCCTCTGGACGGTTTGGCTTTTATACAGACGGATCCAAGATGTAAGAAGTTACAGGGGCTGGTATCTACTGTGAAAGGATAGGCCTTGAGCTTACCTACAAACTGGATAGCAACTGTAGTGTTTTCCAAGCTGAAATTTTCGCTATTTGGGAGGCAGCGAAATTGATAAAAAGTATGGATGCATAGATCGTTGAACCGGTCACTATCTTTGTGGATATTCAAGCGGCTCTTAAAGCCATTAAATCCTGTTACATCAAATCTGAGGCCGTCCTCAAGTGTAGAACAGTTTTGGAAGAACTTACTTACAGCTATCGGCTGTGTTGGGTACCAGGACACCTAGAAGAGGATCTCAATCAACAGATCTAGCAATTGATGACTCAATCAAACCACGCATAAGGCCCGGAGGAAAGATCTTAACGTCTTTTTTATTCGTTAAAAAATCGATTTAGTAAAATTCGAAAAGTTCAGGTTCAGGGAAATGTCAATAAAATCGGAAAAATAGTCGAAGTTAGCAGTCGTAACATCGCCCAGGAGCTAAAAATCGACCATAAAACTGTTTTAAAAGCTGGATTCAAAAATAAGCTCCATGTTTGGGTACCACACTAATTAACAGAAAAATAGGATAGTCCGAATTTCGTTAAATTCTGATCTCTACTCTCAACAACTGGACCGTTTGAAAAGAGCAATTGACCACAAACGTCCAGAATTAGCCAATTGTAGAGGTGTCGTGTGCTACCAGGACAATGCTAGGCCACATACATCTACAGTGACTCGCCAGAAACTTTGGAAGCTTGGTTGGGAAGTGTTAATGCATCCGCACCAAGCGATTATCATCTTTTTCTTGCATCGCAAAATTTCTTTAATGATAAAAAATTGTTATCTAGGGAGTATTGTGAAAATCGACTATTAGAGTTTTTTGCAAATAGAGAGCAGGACGTCTATTTTGGAGGTATTATGAAGTTACCTTTAAAATGGCAACAAATCATACAACAAAATGGTGTATATTTCGAACATTACGAAGCATGATAAATAAAATCCTACAGTTCATATAAAAATAATGGATTTCATTTTTCCCCAACCTAATATTTTTGCATTTCCTAATTGGAAAACAATGTTGCAAAAATGCATTTTTAAAATTTTCAATTGAAAACATTGTTTAAAAAAATGAGTGTGTTCTGACAAATATTAATCTGTTTCTATCTATTTAAAAATAACCAATTAAGCTATTAGCAGTTGCATTTCCAAAAACAAACAAAAAACAGATGTGTTGCCAAGCACAAAGGCAGGCATTAAAATTCACTATAGCTTTAATACACATTTCGAAATGAAAAATAATGAAAGAAAAAATAATAAAAAAAAAAAAACAGTTCAAGGTGGTTTCTTTGCATTTGATTTGTTTTACATAAAATCTGCTCGCGGCTTATCAGTGCAACAACAACAACATAATAAACAGACACACATAATATAACATACAAACACACATATATATTTTTTCAAACTGAATGCATCAATGCAAGTAGCCAAGTGCAAGAATATCCGATTTTTTTTCCTTTTTCTTGGACTGCATTCAGTGAAAGAAAATTAATGTGTATTCATTTTCTTTTTCATGGCTAATCATTTTCACTTTTTCTTTCTATTTCATTTTATTAATTTTTTTCTTTGTTTTGTTTCTGCAGGTGATGTTGTCTTCTGTTCGGGCGCTGCTGCCACTCCCATCACTCTCATCAATGCCATGGTTGAACATGGCAAATCGAGTAACCTAAAAGATGTCACTGTCTGTCACATGCACACCGAAGGTCCAGCTGCCTACACTGAACCCGGCAATGATAAGATTTTCCGCTCGAACTCCTTCTTTATGGGCGGCAATGTACGTAAAGCCGTTGCCGAAGGTCGTGGCGATAACTTTTCGATTTTCTTGCATGAAATTCCACAATTGTTCTATAAGAAAATTGTACAACCCGATGTTGCCTTGATCCATGTTTCACCACCCGATCGTCATGGTTTCTGTTCGTTGGGTACCAGTGTGGATTGTGTTAGAGCTGCTTTGTTGCACTCCAAGAAAATTGTTGGTAAGGAAAAAATATCTCTCACTTTTTTAAAGAGAAATATTAATCCCTTTGTTTTTGTTGCAGCCCAAGTCAACAAACAAATGCCTCGTACCTTTGGTGATGCCGCTATCCATTCATCCCATTTCGATTATATGACTGAAATCGATGTACCCCTACCTCAACATGGCGGCAAGGGTCCCAGCGAAGTTGAGGCCAAAATTGGTAAATTGATTGCCGAGAATTTGGTCCATGATGGTGCCACCTTGCAAATGGGTATCGGTAACATTCCCGATGCTGTCTTGAATGCCTTGCACAATCACAAGGATTTGGGTATCCATTCGGAAATGTTTGCCAACGGTGTTGTCGATTTGGTTAAGGCCGGTGCCGTTACCAATCGCATGAAGAAAATGCACCAAGGTCGCATTGTGGGTTCCTTCTTGATTGGTAATCAAGCTTTGTATGACTTTGTCAATGATAATCCCTTCATTGGTAAGTATTAGCTACAGCAAATCTTTACGAAATTTCGGTTCATTCCATTAAAACAACATTTTGTTTCCTTATTTTTTTCAGAAATGTATGCCATCGATTATGTCAACAATACCAGCGTAATCAAACAACAACCCCGCATGACTGCCATTAACTCCTGCATTGAAGTCGATTTGACTGGTCAAGTGTGTTCCGATTCCATTGGTACACGTTTCTTCTCTGGCTTTGGTGGCCAGGTCGATTTCATTCGTGGTGCCGCTGAAGGTGTCGACGGCAAGGGTGTACCAATCATTGCCATGCCCTCCGTTACCAACAAGGGTGAAAGCAAAATTGTGCCCATTCTCAAGCCAGGTAAATTCACAAAATATAATTTGATTTTTGAAAATAAATTTCAAAAAAATTTATTTTATTATCCTAGGTGCCGGTGTTGTCACCTCTCGTGCCCATGTCCACTATGTTGTCACCGAACACGGCATTGCCTCACTGTTTGGCAAGAATATGCGTCAACGTGCTTATGAACTTATTCAAATTGCTCATCCCGATCACCGCCAGACCTTGGAGAAGCAGGCCTTTGAACGTTTGAAGGTTATGCCATCAAAGGATTAAACACCACCACCACGCCACGTAGCAGCACATCAACTTCTATACTTGTTAAACAATTTTGTTTTTTAGGGATTTTCGTTGTAGCCAACCAGACTTTTGCATATTAATTTGATTTGTTTTTTTATGAAAATGGAAAACAAATCAAATCGTATCCCTAGAGATTGTCTTAAGTTTAATTAAGCCATAAAATATAAAGTCATAAAATTCGAATCATCCAAAAAAGAAGAAATGAAAATCTATTGAATTTCAAATTAAAGTGTCATTTAGATATTTTTTAAAGTTTTTATTTTGTTTTTGTATTGTGATTAAATGAGAATTAGTCAAAAAACATTGTTTCAAATACCAAAAAATATAAAAAGTGAAAATTAATAAGCGAATAAAGTGTAAACCATTCCTATTTAATAAAAATGAATATTTTTGTATTGTATATTTTTCCAAAGGACCATACAAGGCGTGAAGTTTTTAAAGAATATTTTTCAAGGGTCCAAACAAGGCGTGCATTTTTTAAAGAGTATTCTTTCGAGGCCCAAACAAGGCGTGGACTTTTTAAAGAGTATTCTTTCGAGGCCCAAAAAAGGCGTGGACTTCTTAAAGAGTATTCTTTCGAGGCCCAAACAAGGCGTGGACTTTTTAAAGAGTATTCTTTCGAGGCCCAAAAAAGGCTTGGACTTCTTAAAGAGTATTCTTTCGAGGCCCAAACAAGGCGTGGACTTTTTAAAGAGAATTCTTCGAGGCCCAAACAAGGCGTGGACTTTTTAAAGAGTATTCTTTCGAGGCCCAAACAAGGCGTGGACTTCTTAAAGAGTATTCTTTCGAGGCCCAAATAAGGCGTGGACTTTTTAAAGAGTATTCTTTCGAGGCCCAAACAAGACGTGGGCTTTTTAAAGAGTATTCTTTCGAGGCCCAAACAAGGCGAGGGCTTTTTAAAGAGTATTCTTTCGAGGTCCAAACAAGGCGTGGACTTTTTAAAGAGTATTTATTCAAGTCCCTAAGGCGTGAATTATTTTAAAGAATAATTTTCAGGCCTATCTAAGGCGTGAATTTTTTATCGAATAAGGCGTGCATTTTTATGACGAATATTATTCAGGGCCTATCTAAGGCGTAAATTTTTTAAAGAATATTTTTTCAAGGCCTAAACAAGGCGTGCATTTTTTTGACGAATATTATTCAGGGCCTATCTAAGGCGTAAATTTTTTAAAGAATATTTTTTCAAGGCCCAAACACGGCGTGGATTTTTTAAAAAATATTTGTTCAAAGGATCAATATTTTTCAGGGCTTATTTAAAAAGATATTTTTAAAGACTACTCGATTTTATTATTTTCTTCGATATAATAAAGGAAAATTTGTTATCGTAGTAAAAAGTAGTAGATTCTTGTAGTACGGGAACAAACCATAATTGTTCAAAGGCTCAAGATTTTTCCAGGGCCTATCTAAGTCGTACATCTTTTAAAAAGCTAAACAATACTTGGATTTTTTTAAGAATAATTTTTTTCAAAAATTTGCTATCGTAGTAAAATAACATTCCGTTATTTTACTAATAGGAACTAAACGCAACTCATTTTAACACAGCATTGCCATATACGAAAAAATAGCCACACAACACAAATGCTTACTGAACACAGCTTGTTGGTACGTGGTGGTGTTGTCAGATTTAAAATGTTAGTTGTTAATCTATTGCTATTAAATTTTAAAAGTTAAACGACATTTACGTTAGAAATTATTACCGGGTTAATCATTTTTCTGAGGTCGAATGTTAAATAAATATGTTTTCAAAATCTAAAGGAGCGTGTGATTAAAATAGAAATCTGTTTTCCAGGACCATCAAAACTTCCACTTTTTATAAACATTTTTTCTTTTATAAAGAAAAAATCCACGCCTATTATAATAAGCCTTGGCGCATGATATGTATCAAGTGGAATGCTCATATTTTCAGGAGAAGCTACTTCACAGGACGATGAACCAAATTCCCTTGTTATGACGTACGGTCCGTCTCTCTTCGGAACAAACCTTGATGTTACTCCCTTTGACGCTTGGCTTAGCACATGGGAGGTAACCAAAACTGTGGCTCCAATGGCTCCAAAATGAGACTGCAACCTCCTGTGGAAGGTATATATTTTCTTGTTTGCATCTTATCTTTCTTGTTCACACTCCATGGAATCTTCAAGAATTTTGGATCGATTGCTCATGTATTTCGATATTTGAGGAATAAAGTTTTCCCTTTCTATTATCGATCTTAAATAGTGATGTACGTCATCCAATGTTCTCAATTCCATTCCAAATGTCAGAAATGCGGCGGAAAATCCCATTGATTGACATTTGGTAGTATTCATGGCAAAGCTAATAGCACTTATGTGGGTGGACCAAGTATTGTAATGTCCTTGAACACGAATAGCCACTTGTATTTTCATATCGCGATTTTTGTTTTCAACTTGATTCCCCTGGGGATAAATTGCGGTTGAATATTCAGGGATAATGTAATTTCCTGCATTATGACAGAAATATTAATATCCACTGATAACCATCAGCAGTTGGAGACAGTGGACCGAAAAGATCAGCATCTAGAACTTCAAAGCGTTAGTTGGAACTTGTTATTTTTGGACTTATGAAGTCCAACAGGCTTCATATTAGTTGATTTATATCGATGCAACCTTTGGCATATTTTGTTATTTTTGCTTTTATACCTGGCCAGAAATACCTATTAGATAATCTTTGCATGGTTCTCCACACACCATAGTGTCCAGCAGTACTACCATTGTGATATGCCTTTAAACTTTTAGCTCGCTCATGCTCAGGAACAACAAATTGTGCTTCATCGGTTTTATCATCATTATATCGATACAGAACACCTTCGTTTATTATGTATCCTCGATTAGCCCAATGGTTATGATGTATGATATCTGTATAATCTTTTAATGGGACATTTTCCAAGAATTTTTTCTGAAATTATTTTAATTATGACCAAATTAGAACACCCTTTTCTGCGAAGCCTATATATTGCCTTACCTTGGATATAACGAACTTCTGCTATGACGAGCAAATTTGAGCATTTTTTCAAAGCCTATCAGATCCTGATATATTTTTTTCCACCCCGAACCTCGATATCTGTATAATCTGTTAATGAGGCATTTTCCAAGAATGTTGTCTGCAATTATTTTAATTATTATCAAATTAGAACACCCTATAGTAATTTATCCCGACAGCCCATTAATCAATATACAGACTTGATAAATAGATAATATTGTCTGTAATTTTTTTTGGTGTATACGTATGTAGACATCAATTAAATGGAATGCATTCATACCATCCATATGTTATACGTTTGTTGGACCTTGACCAACCACGTTTATGATTTTACGTTGCGATTTTTTTAAGTCCAAGCATATGGTTGGACTTTGAAATACGTAACATTTTTCAAAAGTTATCATATTTTCAAATTTTTGATATTTTTTTTTTTTAATTCCAAAACTTTTTATACAATATTTTTTATGAACATCTAATCGGTCTGTATAATCTTTTTTAATGAGATATTTTCCAAGAATATTGTCTGAAATTGTTTTAATTAATGAACAAATTATAGCCACCCACCACCTAAAGTCACTTATCCCGAGACAGCCCACCATCAATCAATATACAGATTTGATATATAGATATTACTGTCGTCTGTAATTTTTCGTGTCGACTTGAATAAAATGGAATGCATTCATGCCATCCACCATATCTTATCTATTTGTTTTTTCTTTTTAAACATTCAAATACAAAATACACTATGCTGGGACCTTGAGAAAATATTTTTTTTAAACCCACATCTATGCTGGGACCTTGAGAAATTTTTTTTTTTAACCCACGCTTATGGTGGGACCTTGAGAAAATATTTTTTAAAAAAAATCCACGCCTATGCTGGGACCTTGAGAAAATATTTTTTAAAAAAATCCACGCCTATGCTGGGACCTTAAGAAAATACTTTTTTAAAAAAATCCACGCCTAAAATAAATTTTTGGGACTTAAAATTTAATTCTGAAAAAAATCATGGTAAAAAATTTGTCTTCTGTCATCTGTATCATTTTTCGATTTAAAACACAAGTTCCTGGTCATCCTTTTACAAATGTACACATTATTTTAAAAACGCATATTTAAAAACCCTTCGACACCAAAATATCAAATTACCACCAATACACTTGCTTTGAAAGTATGTCATTCGTTGCTTCGGATAGTAGGTCGGTCGGTCGACCGCCTGTTATTTACCTAATTTATAGAAAATAAATATTTGCAAATATTTAGTAGGTTCAGTCATCAACCCCACACCAATATTAGTTTTGAATAAATATTGTCACATTTACGGTGGCGTGTTTATTAAATGCACACACGCACAAAATGATTTGATTATCACCATTGTGCTAATCAATAAGTGTAAGTATATATCATAATTGTTATAAAATTTGAGTAAATAAAAAAAACACACAAAATATATTATGTGACAAAACACACAAGCTGGTGGAAGACATCAGCAGCAATGACCTGAAAAAATAATGAATGAATTGAAAAAATATTCTTTAAAAATCCACGCCTTGTTTGAGCCCTTGAAAAAAATACTTACTTAGCTGGCTTGTGTCAGAACTTTCGTTCCATAAGCCGAGCTTAGAAAAGATTTCCAGGCGCGTCGGTCTTTTGCGCAGTTTTTCCAATTTGAAAGACCATTTTCGGCAATATTGTCTTCGACTTAGTCTTTCCATCGTATTCGTGGCCTTCCCCTTCTACGTGAACCATCAGCTGGTTTGCTTTTATATGCCTCTCTGGGCTGAGGCATCTTTATCCATTCTCACAATACGTCTAACAATGCCGATGTCCGAGAATAGCTGGTACAACTCATGGTTCATTCGACGGCGATATTCACCGTCAACGCATATCGGCCCATAGATCTTTCGGAGAATTTTTCTCTCAAACACACCAAGAGCTGCCTCATCTGCTTGCGCAAGTACCCACAGATCCATATAACAGCACGGGTAG